GGGCGGGGGGGTGGGGAGGGCTGGAGAGAGTGATGTGCGGCTGGACACCCAAGTGTGGGAGGGTGGCACATGGCCAGATGTGGACTGGCAGCACCCGCCACATGCAAGCTTCCCTCACCCCCCACGGCTGGCCAGGGATGGTGTGTGGTAGCGCTCTATCCCTGCCCACATGTGCATACCCCCTAAGGCCTTCTCAAGTACCCCAGGGGTATGTGTTCCTCTGGTTGACAACCCCTGTCCTATAGGTTTAAGCTCAATAATAAAAACTTGCATTGCTTTCTAGATATACATCTCCAGACTTCCTTTATGTTCGTTCCTGGTTACCATGCATATTTTTTGCTGGTGGCATAACTATGGGGAACATTGGAAGACAGCTGGCAATGGTAAGTTTTGGGTTTTTTTGTTTTTTTTTTTCTTGGGGGGGCGTTGGCATTAATTATGTATTAGTGTGTATTTTAAAAACTAGTCATTCTGCATGCTACTTTTATTAAAATTGAATATGAAGGTTGAGACTGAAAAATACTGAAGGTAGGCTTCAGTGTAGTCAGCATACCACTGAATCCATCAGAGACGTTATACCCATTATTGTTCCCTACATATAAAACAACATTTCCCAGTTTATCATTAGGGACCTACCAATATTGGAATTGCATGATTTTTGTGGAAACTGAGTTTGGGCAGGCTCTAGGGGAAATGTTGGGTTCTGTGATTTTTGATGGCTTGTCACCAAAAAAAACCCCAACTAACAACCCAGCAAGCAGAGAAAAGGCTGGGAAGCCCTGCAACCTTAGAGCATAGATGGGGATAGCAAGGCAGGGCTTCTTGCAGCAGGAGGCCTCTGCATCTCCTGCTATGAGCAACCATGCCCTTCCACCTCCGCTTTCCCCTCATGCTCCAAGACTGCCAGCAAGTTTGTTTTTTAAGAGAGCTCACCAAAATTGCAGAGCCTGCTGCTTGGGGATGGCCCAAAACTATGGCTTAATGACCCTGATTAAGCTGGGGGGAAGCCATTATTAATCCACGCTTAAAAATATATGGATTAATGGCTTCCCCAGGCTCAACCAGGGTAATTAAGATGCAGTTATGGGCCATGTACAAATCTGCGGGGAGGGATAGGACTGCCACAGCCCCTTACCCAATCAGAGGCATGAGGGACGGGGAGGAGAGGCCACTTCACTCAGCCTGCAAAAATGACATCCGGCCCCAGCATCTACCTGCAAAATTGGCCAGCCACCTCTTCAAGTTCAGTAGACCCCTATTTATCATACTTTGTCCATTCTGTGTATACACAAGTCTTTGCAGGATTGAGGTCTAAATAAGAACGCTATGGCCAGAGGAACAAAACTGGTTAATTTTTAAGTCAGTGCCTTATGTGGTTAGGTTCTCTAATGCTGTGCAAGAAGTGAGAGATTTTACCCCAAATGATAGCTGAAAAACTGTAGTTGGTTAGGGTGCCCTGTGATTCACGGCTGCTTTCCGGGATTAAAGTAGTTTGGGAGGAGTTTGGGCAGAGCTGTTATGTCTCATTATGTAGATATCACTGTTTCTCAGCTGTCTTTCTCAATCAGAACTTAATTGTGCAAATCTGTTCCTAGATATATTTATGTCAACTACTTTTGGTTGTTTTGTAGTACGAATGCAAAGTCATTGCAGAAAAATCTCACCAGGACTGAGGAGACAGAACATGCACCTTCTTTGCAGGAAAATGTCCAACAAGCAGCTATCAGAAGACCATATGCTATAAGGAACATTTGATTATAAAATTGCCAAAATGCAATTTTTTCCTTTGAATGGTATACATTACTGCAATCTGTGATTGCTGCTTCTATAAGTCAGTTAGAAACCTTGGTGTCTCTGATTTGATTACTGTGAAGTTACAGTAGTATGCAATACACTTGACAACATTGGTTCATGGATAGGATTTTTTTTTTTCTGAATCTAAACTGTTTACCATATGTCATTGTCTTTCCACAATGTTGCAGTGCCAAACTGACATTTGTGTTACTGTATACTGTAGCTGAAAATTATGCTTCACTTTGGGCAAATTAAGGAATTGATGTTTTCAATAGTTTTGCAAAAACCAGGAAATTTAAGAATAAGTATGAAAATCTTTTAAGTTACCATTTGTGGCTAGTTATTTTTATTAGTTTACGTGAGTTACAGGTGCGCTGCAGTGGCAATAAGGAAACTTGAGGTAAGTCCATACATTTTCTAAGCCACTCCCTTTTTCTTTAAATCCTGCCATAGTTGAGAGATCTTATTTAGGGCATGCCATCTCTCATTTTCCTGTTATTTGTCCCCAAATGATACATCCTTAGGAAAATCTCTACTGAATGTGGAAAGAGAAACTTCACTGAGGTGGGAAATTCTTTAGAAAACAGAAAAAAGGAAGCTGAAGTCTAGTTTAGAATTTGCTTTCTTCTAGCACAGACCTGCAGAGTATCTGTTAGTTAATGGTCTCTCTCTTTAGGCAGGCCTGGATTTTAAAATTATTGATCACACTGAGTTGCACCTTATTTTGCCAATAGTCCTGTCGAAGTCAGTAGGACTACTTATGGTGTAAGGTGCTATTTTAGGTACTTATGTGAACCCCCCCTTCCCTCTTTCTCATTATTGTAGCATTTGAGCACTTTGCACTTGTTCTTTAAATGTGCCTAATCCTTCAGAGGACTGTGATCTTTACCAGTTATCGTGTAAGTCATATAAGC